TCTGCATTGTCCAAGAAGAGGATAAAATTGCCAATTAATATGAGATTTTGATAAGTAAAAAATTCATGTTGTATAATGTATTCTGGTGATCTCTAAGAGAATAATTAAAGACTATGTAATTTCTAAGCTAATAAAGTGAAGGAAGAAATAATAAAAACTGCCCAACCAATCCAAAAGTAGGCCAGAAATGAAGGAAAATGGAATTTGGAGCAGGCAGAACCAATGGAAAATGAATAATTAAATATATTAGTAATTTCATTACATAAAAATAATCCAGCTAAGAGACAAAGATCAGCAGTCTGGATTTAAAAATACAACTATGTTGGCCGGGCGCGGTGGCCAACACAGATTGTATCACGCCTGTAATCCTAGCTCTCTGGGAGGCCAAGGCGGGCGGATTGTTTGAGCTCAGGAGTTCGAAACCAGCCTGAGCAAGAGCGAGACCCCGTCTCTACTAAAAATACAAAGAAATTAATCGGACAACTAAAAATACATAGAAAAAATTAGCCGGGCATGGTGGCACATGCCTGTAGTCCCAGCTACTCGGGAGGCTGAGGCAGAAGGATCGCTTGAGCCCAGGAGTTTGAGGTTGCTGTGAGCTAGGATGACGCCACGGCACTCACTCTAGCCCAGGCAACACAGTGAGACTCTGTCTCAAAAAAAAAAAAAAAAATACAACTACGTGCTTTTTACAAGAGACATATCATTTTAAAACACAAGGACACATAGGGACACGGTAAACTACTAGACAGAGATACATCATGCCTACACTTTCAAAAGAAAGCTGGTATGAGCATATTAATATTAGACAAAGTAGACTTTTAGGCCACAAACACCCTTAGAGATAAAGAATAGCATTGCATAATGATAAAAGTTTCAATTTGCCACAATGATTTAACAATTTTAAATTTACCTTTATCTAATACATGTCCTAAGAAAAAACTGACAGAAGCAAAAACTGACAGAATTTCAAGAAAAAAATGGTTAAAGCCACATCTGAGTGGAAGACTTTAACCAACCTTCCTTCCTTCCTTCCTTCCTTCCTTCCTTCCTTTCTTCCTTCCTTTTCTTTCTTTCTTTCTTTTGAGACAGAGTCTTGCTATGTTGCCCAGACTGATCTCAAACTCCTGGCCTCAAGCAATCCTCCCACCTCTGCCTCCCAAGTAGCTGTTAATGCTCCTTTTTAAATAAAATAAACTAGTAAAAAAACAAAAACCAGTAAGAACATAGAAAATGTGAACTATGAAATTAACCAAGTGACCCGAAGGACATATACAGAATACTGTACTCAAAAACTGTAGAATGTACAGAATTTTAAGGACACAAACGATATAAATAAAACATAGAAATTAAGCTAGAAATCACTAAGAATATAATCAGAAAATATTCCATTTTAAAATTAAGAAATGCACTTCTAAATAACCAATAAGTTGGAGAAGAAATAAGAACAGAAATTAGAAAACATGTTGAACTGAATAATAAAAATACTATGTATCAAATTTATGATACATTTACAGCCTTCTAAAGGAAAAATGCATAGATTTTAATGTATTTTTGGCCACTTACATAAAAATTTGAAATTAGTCAAATAATAGGATACAGAATTTTGGATCCATAAAAACACGGAACGCCCCTTAATTCATGCTAGGGGCTTTCCCTGAGGAGAGGGAGGGGGGTGGAATCAGAGAGTACTAGCTCCATTTGTTTTCTATTAAATTTTTTTTGTATTTCTATTTTTTAATAGAAAACTAATGAAAAATCACAGTAAGATATCCTCTCACCCCAATTAGAATGGCTATTATCAAAAAGACAGAAAATAACAAATGCTGGTGTGGATGTGGAGACAGGGAAATGCTCACGCACTGTTGGTGGGAATGTAAATTAGTGCAGCCAATATGTAAAACAGTATGGAGGGTCTTAAAAAAATTTTTTAAAAACTACCAAATGATTCAGCAAGACTTTTACTGAGTATACATCCAAATGAAATAAAATCAGTAGTATTTGGAAGAAGTATCTCCACCCCCATGTTCATTTCAGCACTATTCACGATAGCCAAGATATGGAATCAGCTTAAGTGTTTACCAATGGATGATAAAGAAAATGTGGTACATCTACATAACAGAATATTCATAATATACTATTCAGCCATAAAAAAGAATGAAATTCTGTTATTCGTGGCAACATGGATAGACCTGGAGGACACTGTGTTAAGTAAAATAAGGCAGGCATGGAAAGATTAATACTGCATGATCTCACTCTTAGGTAGTAGAACAGTGGTTACCAGAGGCTGGGGAGGGGACTAGGAGAGAAGAGAGGATGGTCAGCAGATGCAAAGTTACAGTTAGATAGGAGGAATGAGTTCTGGTGTCCTAGCGCACGGTAGGGTGACTGTAGTTAACACTACTGTACTGTATATTTCAAAATACCTGGAAGAGAGGATTTTAAATGTTCTTACTACAAAGAAATGACAAATGTTTGAGGCAATAAATGGGCTAAATATCCTGATTTGATCATTATGCAGTATATGCATACATGGAAACAGCATACTCTACCTATAAATGTGTACAATTAGCAAATTAAAAACTGACACAAATTAAAAATAAAACTAAAAAAATTGAAACAAGGCATAATGTTAGAATTTGATAAATCTGAACAGTAGATTAAAAGTAAAATAAAATAAAATAGGGAAAAAAACAAATATTAAGAGTTTTTATGTATTAATTTGTCAATAACAATAATAGTAGTAAAAACAACAGCATAGCGGTATTATTTGCAATAGCCAAAAGGTACAATGTATTTGGGTTTTCCAAAGGAACAGAACAAATAAGAGATAGATAGATAAATAGATAGATGTTATATATGTATCATATAACAAAAGTTATAGATAATATATGATAATAATATGATTAAATATAACAGGTTATGCAATATTGTATATATTATATAGCAAATATTATATTCATGTATTAATATATAGAGAGGTTTATTATAATGTATTGGCTCACACAATTATGGAGGCCGAGAAGTCCCACACTCTACTGTCTGCAAGCTGGGGTCCCAGAAGAGCAAGTGCTGTAGTTCAAAGGCCTGAGAGCCGATGGGCCAACAGTGTGGATTCCAGACCAGGTCTGAAGGCCTGAGAACCAGGAGCACTGAGAGCAGAAGGCCCATGCTCCCGTTCAAGCAGCCAGGCAGAGGGAACCTTTAATGTATATTTTAGAGAAGAGTCATGTTAAAAACCAAGGATCTAAGCATCCATTTTAAGAAGTAAGAAAAATGAGTTCCAGGTGGATTTTAGATTGATCGTGAAAGACAAAATAATGTTTCTAGGGGATAATACAGGAGAATATCATTATGACCGTGGCATAGTCAAAGATTTTTTAAAGAAAACAAAACACACACATTAGCTATAAAAGAAAAGATGATGACCTTGACCACACTGAAATTACCTTCTGTTCATGAGCAGTACCCCCTACGGGGGAAGCCCCCAGTAAGGAAAGATATGCAATAGAACCAACAAAAGGCTTATGTTCAAAACATGTAAACATACCTTCAAATCAGAAAGAAAAAGATAGACAACCCAACAGAAAAATAGGCTAGTGACTTGAATAGACGCTTCATAAAGAAGGTATACCAGTGGTTAATAAGGGAAATGGATTTAAAACCACAATGAGACATTACCACATATCCACCAAAATTAGTAAAATTAGGAAAACTGACAATAGCAAGTGTTGGCAATGATGTGAAGCAATGGGACCTTTCAAACAGTACTGCAACAAGTTTAAATGATTGTCCACTTGGGGAAACAGCTTGATGTTTTCTGCTAGTTTAATATGTGCATATCCTATAATCAAAAATCCCAGTCTGAGGTATATACTCAATAGGTACAGAAGCATATATGTACCCAGAGATGTGAACAACAGTGTTCATTGCAGCATTGTTTTAAAAACTAGGAGCTAGAAACAGCCAAAATGTTCATCAATAGTAAAATGAATAAATAAATTGTGTTTATTCCAACAATGGAATATTATACAGCAAAGAAAATGAGCACATTACAGCTACATACAATAATATCAATGACTCACAAACAAAATGTGAAGCCAAATAAATGAGGTATAGACAAAAATATTGTTTGTTTACATTTATGCAATGTTAAAAAAATAAGATTAAACTATAGCATTGGGAGAAACATCTTTAAGCAGTAAAGCTATAAAGGAAGGGATGAAAATGGTCACCATAAAAGTCAGCATAATGATTATTTTTGGCAAAAAAAAAGGATGGATTATTGATTAGAAGGGAGCACAGGGCTTCAGGGGTTCTAGCAACATTCTATTTCTTTACCTGTATGGTAGTTCTACAGTTTGCTCTGTACTAATACTGAATTTTACATTTTCTGTTTTATACTTTCCTCAATATGTGTGTTTTATTTCACATTAAAAGAGCACATCGATAAAACACGAATCTGACCTAGCAAGTGGCTCCCCTTGCCTTGGGATTAGAGTTTCATCCACTCCCCTTCAATTCAAGGCCCCGCAGAAGTCTACTCCCGCTTACCCTGCCAGCCTCGTCTCTCCACCATGTCACATCTGCTGTAGTCATGGTGAACTAGCTGCAGCTTCCAGAACATGATCTCTCACATCTTCTGCCTTTTGCAAATACTGTTGCCTATTTAAAGCTCCCTCCTCATCCTATTTATCTAATCAAGTCTTGGCCACTTTTCAGGAGTAGCCCCTTCCTGCAAGCTATTCTGCTCTTCCTTAGGTGACACGTGGGCCTGGGATTCCCCTGTGATGACACCTGCCACACTCTGTGGGATGTTTACCTTCACTTCTCTGTACCCTACAGGACAGGGTGTACCTCAAGGGCAGGGAACATTGTTTATTTATCTGGCTGACTTCCGAGGTTTACTCAGTGCTTGTCACGTGATGGTCTAAAAACATTTTTCAGTGAATGAGCAAAGACAAAACAGTGATAAATTTATCCTTTTTTGTGTTACCCAGGTGGATAATGAACAACTGGATTTAGACAGTGAAGATATTGAAAGCCTCGATGCCACCAAATTAAGCCGTTTCATTGAGATCAACAGCCTCTACTTGGTGACAGAGTACAATCCTGTGGTAAACGATAGTCCCGGTCGCCTGCCCCTTAAGTCCTTGAGTCAGGGAGGGTACTTGTCTTCACAGCGAGATCTTTTCCTCCCAGAGTTCTGATCCTTTGAATGAAAATGATAGTAACTGCCAACAATTGAATACCTGGAGTGTTGCCTATATTACTAACCTTACTATAACCCTTTAAGATTGATGGACTTCTCCCTATTAAACAAGGAAACGAAGTCCAACAAATTAAATGACCTATCACACTACTAGTACGAGAGAAATCAGAATGCAAAGTTATGGTGACTGATTGGAAAACTTCTGAATTGTGCTGCCTGACCGAGCTCAGTGAAGGCAACTCTGACCCAGGCAACTCTGCAGATCATGCTTCTCAAACTAGATGGCAATCAATATTTAAGGTCCATTTTTCCCCGAAGCATGGGTGATCCATACTTTTGTAAAATACAATAAAAGTAAATTACTAGACAAATGAAATTTTTTAAAGGAAGCCCACTGATCACATATTTGGATGTCATGGCAATGTAAAATTTCTATAAAAGTTTCTAAATACATATTTCTATTTTCTGTATTACATCCTTGAGGACAAATAACAAACAGTTCCTGTTCTGGCACCACCTGGAAACCATGCTTTGATTAGCACGTGGCTACACCCCACCCTCACTGTGCCTCAGCTTTCTCTCTAGGTGTGTCATCCTCTGGTGTTGCACACTGTATGCGGTCCAGATAAGGGTGGTGGTCCACCTGCCTTGATCATCTGCTGGCCTTCTAACACTCTACGGTTTATAGAATTATCTTATATGTACAGTACCGCCCTTTATTTTCCCTGATATAGATCTTAGAATGATGGAGTATTAATTTCTGGTGATCTACATCAGCTCAGAAATGCTGTGCATTCTCCAGTAACAATACTTTACATGCATGTTATGATTTTTTAAAATTTACAAAGCCTTTTCACACTCATATTCTCATTTAATCCTTATACTGATTTTTTTTTTTTTAGATAGAAGAGAGGAAAGTTTTATGCCTATTTTACAGAGAAGGACAGTCAAGATCCAAGTGACATTATTCAAGGTCACATAACGAATAGATAGAAAAGGGATAATTTAAGACAGAAAAAAAGTAACTCATGATTGATTTGCTCATATTGTTTATTTCCATTTCACAGTAGAAGAAATGGGAGTCAGAAAGGTTAAATAACTTCCTCAAGGCCATATGGCTAGTAATTTGACCTTCAGAGACAGCCTATGCACGCACCCCTGGTTTCTCATGGCTGGTCTGTGTGACTGAATCCTGTGGTTTTTCTATTACCCCACACTGCCTTCAATAGAAACATCCCTTTTCCTATGAACTAAATTCCTGTCCGTCTCTCACACATCTTTATCTCTGTGGAGCTGGTGACTCTATTTCCACTTTTGCTAAAATTCCAAACACATATACCTGTGGGGTGTTGGAGGTAATAACCAAAAAGGCATTCTTCTCCTAGACCATTGTCATTCGGTCATTGTGTCTATGCATCTACCAGAAGTGCATGCGGGGCCAGAAAAAAATGATCTTATGGTCCCTGGGCTATGGCCCAGGTGACCTGGCACTCTGCAGGCTGGCTAAGGCAGGGGCAAGGACCGGCCTGCCTGGGCTCTTATGCCTGGTTCATCTCTCATCTTACAGAACAATGACATATCTTTTTTAAATTCTACATCATCAGGGAAGGCAGATCACATCAAGAGGAAATTAGGTAAGACTTTCTTTAGAGAAGCATGTTCAGTATTTATTGTTACTTTTTTATTTCTCAAAAGTAATATTTTTCTCATTTGGAGAGCTGCCTGTTCTACGATAGCTATTTCTTATCTGCTGCTGGTGCAGAGGTTTGCACCAGTAGCAACTGGGCAGAAAATCAGAGCCATACACTTGGCCTACCATGCACTTTTAATGCACACACACAATAGATGGCTTCAAGGTGAAAAATCAGGCTGCTTCTGTTAGGGTTAAACTAATCAGTTCTGCTATAGCCAATCCCTCCTGCTAAGACAACTGTACCTTTTAACTCCTTAGTTTGTATTTCTTAATTCTTCCATCTCTGCTTTAGGAGAGTAGATGCACGCTCTAAACTTAAGTAGCAGAATCTAGTAAAACAAGAGTGACATTGCTTGTCATCTGATCTCCCAAAGTAAAATCTAGGACCTGGTTTTAAATTCCAGGGAGAAATCCTTAGGAAAGAACCCACTGGGCCCTCCTTGCCTGCATATTGGCCCCTGCAGCTGGTAAAGCTGGAGAATCTCTACAGAACAGTGTGTAGCTTCGGGAATAATCCCACCTGGCTACCCTTTTCCCACCCTCTGGGGACTCTGCCCAGTGGTTTGCTCATCCACCATATTCTCTCTTCCCATGTACACACTAGTTTCACAGTAATGCTTCCTGTATTTAGAAGGAGAGGTGGAAAGGAATGGCATTTGTTTAAAATAGACTTGCAGCACTGTTTCAGGACAGTAAAATGAAGGGAAGCAGGGCCACTGTCTCACCCTCTCTCCCGTCTCCTCACTCTGGCTCTTGGCTGTCCTGCTCACCTAAGTCATTGACAACTCCATGAGGAATTGTCATCTCTAATCTGCAAAAAAGGACCAATGCTTCTGATCTCCCGAAGAGCCCAATTTCTTGCTGACCTTAGGTGGCCTGGTTCAACGACACTTAGAGTTGAACTTGTTTACCGGTGGTTTTGCCACCCACTGTGCATGAGTCTATCCTCAGGGTCAAGGGCATGGACTCCAGAGCCAGGCTGTCTGGTGTGAATCCCAATCTACCATTTACATGACTTTGGGAGAGTTACGTTGAGAGTGCCTCAATTTCTTTACTTGAAAAACTAGGACCTTGAGGATTAAATTGGCTATTACATGTTACGAGTTGAAAACGGTGCCTTGCACATAATAAACACTGAATAAGTGTGAACTACTAATATGTAGTCAAAGGCTACGTTTTAAGTGTCTCTTACTAGTCTTTCAATATGAAGAGGGATTGAAAAAATGTGATGACATGAATAGGTCTATTGCTGTATAACAGATTAATCCAAAATTTAGCATCTTCAAACAAGAAACATTGATCATCTTGTGCAGTTTCTGTGGTCTGTGGGTAAACCAACTTGGAGTGGCCAGGCTAGGTGCTTCCAGTGTGGGGTCTCTTGTGAGGTTGCAGTCATGGGTGAGGGCTGCTGTCATTGGAAGCCTTCACTGGGGCTGGGGATCTGCTGGCCAGATGACACACACACACAGCTTACAGGTCAGCACTGGCTGTTGGTAGGAAGCCCCAGTTCCTTGCCATGTGAACCTCTTCACAGGGCTGCTTGAGTGCCCTACACTGGGGCTGGCATTCCTCGGAGAGACGGATATAAGAGAGAGCAAAGCAGAGACCACAATGTCTCTTATGACTTAACCTTGGAAGTCACACTCCACCATTTCTGCACTATCGTCTTAGTTACTCAGGGCAGCCCTATTCAGTGTCCGAAGGAAGGGTCCACACAGTTGCATGGAAACAAGATGGTGACACTTACTGAGAGCCATTTTGGAGGCTGGCTCCATTTGTGTTACTGGTGGACAGTTCTCATTTATGTTTTGGTCTGTCTATTCACTGGATGGTCACTAACGTGTTCTCTCTCTCTCTCTTTCTCTCTCTCTCTCTTTTTCCCATTCTACTCCAACGCATTTCAATTTGCCAGACTGCGATTGGCCTGTTTAACAGCATGATTCAGATTCATCTCCTCCTGCTGATGAACAAGGCCTCCCCAGAGTATGAAGAGAGCGTGCACAGATACCAGAAGGCAGCTCGGCTCTTCCAGGGAAAGGCAAGTTGGGAATAGGAATGCCTCTTTGGATATGCACCACCAGGACACTAGAAAAAGCAAAATGTGGTCAGGAAGTAGAGATAATAAGGAAAACAAGTATGGTTAAGAGATAACAAAGCAAGAACTGGGACATAATAAATCACATTATTTGAAATTAAGAATGTCGTATTTTGTAAATTAAAGGCCTGTAATATCATATCTTCCCATAGTGATTAAGTTTGTGTTTTTGTTTTTTTCTGCATTGATTGGTGGAGAGAAAATAGAGACACAAAGATACTGAAAATAAAATCGCCCGTTAGTAACAATTTGTTTACTCTTTGACATAATCTCTCAGAGTTTTAGGCCTCAAGGCTTATTTCTCATATAAAATGCCTGTCAAGTACCTGGTGCCTACAAAATATCCAATGAATATTTATTTCTTCCTCTTTCCTCCTTTGTGAAGTTCTGCTTGATATCACTGAGATAGTAAAACTCAACTACTTCAAGTCTATTATGTAGAACTAGAGACCTTTCTAATGATGAGAATTGTCTAGTAATAAAATAAGCTGCTGTTTGGATGGTTGGTTCCCTGATGCTGGAAGTATTCAGTGTTACTAAATGTCGATAACTCTATGATCAGAATATATTAAAAAGATTTGTACTTTGGGTAAAAGATTTGATTTAATAATATAAAATAGTTAATACCTGTCAAGCACTTACTATATGACAAAAACTATCCTAAAAATATTAAATGCATCATTTCATTTAATCTCACCCAGCAAAAGCCAGTTTTTGCCAATGAGAAAACTGAGTCTCAGAGAGGGTGGATAACGTGCCCAAAGTTGCACAGCCAGAAAGCACCAGAGGCAGAATGTAAAAGTTGTTCTCTGCTTTTAACCATTAGGCTATACTTTCTCCCTTAGATAATCACTAAAGTCTCTTCTGATTCTAAGCACCAAAAATTAAATAAATCTGATCAAAGGGGTAAAATAACAAAGTGACACAAAATAATAGGAAATTCATTTTAATTCAATCAAGATTTAAATTGTGAGCCGGGCACGGTGGCTCACGCCTGTAATGCTAGCTCTCTGGGAGGCCGAGGCGGGCGGATTGTTTGAGCTCAGGAGTTCGAAACCAGCCTGAGCAAGAGCGAGACCCCGTCTCTACTAAAAATAGAAAGAAATTAATCAGACAACTAAAAATATATAGAAAAAAATTAGCCAGGCGTGGTGGCGCATGCCTGTAGTCCCAATTACTCGGGAGGCTGAGGCAGAAGGATTGCTTGAGCCCAGGAGTTTGAGGTTGCTGTGAGCTAGGCTGACGCCACAGCACTCACTGAAGCCCGGGCAAAAGAGTGAGACTCTGTCTCAAAAAAAAAAAAAAAGATTTAAATTGTGTAGCGCAGATCAAAAATTCCATCAGTGTAAACTGTAACAATTACAAGGTATCTCTTTATCCCCAGGACCTCAGCTAGTTCTCTTTCTTTCGAACTTCTCCAACTGCAGATTCTCTTTATTCTGGTGGACAGTGGTCTGCGGGAAAATGAGAGGGTGATGTCATTTTTCAAACTAAACAAGTCTCAACTGCCAGCTTTGGCAATTTATCGGACTCTGGATGAGGAGTGGGACACGCTGCCCATAGCAGAAGTTTCAGTAGAGCACGTGCAAAACTTTTGTGATGGATTCCTCCAAGGGAAATTGTTGGTAAGTGTGAGACTACGAACAAAGCAAGTTGAGTTTTCTTTCTTGTTGCGTCTCTTTTATTTCCTTTTAAATAAGAGTTCTTTGGGATCTAGGGGCATGGGGATGGCCAAAGGTTTGTTAACAGACACAAAAGTACAACTAGTTAAGAGGAATTTATTCTAGTGTTCTGTAGCACTGCAGGGTGACTATAATTATTAACAGTTTATTGTATATTTTCAGTTAGAAGAGCAGATTGTGAGTGTTCCCAACACAAAGAAATGATAAATGTTTGATGTGTTGGATATGCTAATTACCCTGATTTGATCATTACATGTTGTAAACATCACACTGTGCCCCATAAATATGTACAATTATTTGGTGTCGATTTAAAATAATAATAAAAACAAAAAAATTAAATTCAAAAAAAGAATTCTTTCGGCAGTACTAGATTTGATTAAGAGTAAAGATATATGAGGATATCATGGTCAGAGTGAGGATGTTTTTTAGGATATAGTCATGAGAATAGAATGAGGAAAGCATTTTTGGAAAGATCTTGCAGATTCAAAGAAGCTGAATTTTGAATTTCACCATTTTCTTATCAAATGAATCAAATACCATCTAAAAGAGTTAGTTGAGATAAAAATTGAAGATGGATTTAGGACTGACAGGAATAATCAAACAGCTCAGTTTACTAATCTCAGAGCTTGAAAACAAGAGTGAACTCCAAATCTCAAGATCAGGGTTATGATGTTTTTCAGAGAGAAAATCATGAATCAGAAGGAAAGACTCCAAAGGTGGAACTCTGATGTCCCCGATATGTGTGCATACCGCCAAGTATCTTCTTTATGCTGAATCAAAGGGGGCAACTCAAACCTCAGAGATGCTGAGCAACAGGATGGCCAGGTCTGCCAACCACGCACACACACACACAGACACACAGCTCCATTTTGTTCCTTAAAATCTCATTTACTCTCCTTCTTTCTTTTAAATTTCCTATACTCTCTCACTACCCACCCGAGTTCCTGTTATGCATTCATACTGTGTAGGACCACCTATAATACCACTAGATTCACGCTCTAAGAGAAATACTGTTCTGAGAAGGAGAGGCATCCATAGAGAGATCGTCCTGGTGGGTCATTTAATACTGAGTGAGTACACTGCACACGACTTAGTTTCTGCTCCTTGAGGGTCACCCAAGGGGTGAAACTCTACCTTCCTTCATAAGCACATGTTCCTTTCTGACTCAGGGCCAAGAACAAAAGGATGGTTTTAAACCTTTTCTGAAATTGTCTTTTTGCCAGAAGTTAAATGATGTCTCCAGGTCTCTGAGTCCGTAGAAACAGACCATGTAAAAATTCTATGCTTGTTTAGCATTTCCAACTCCCCATGTGAATCAACAACCGCATAATAAATAAAAGGCAATAATGTTATAGGAAAAGACTGGCATCTCTTTGCAGGCCAAACCTTTTGTAAATACACAGCTGCCAAGCGAAGCAGCATGTTCCTCACCCTTCAGTGCCCACCATTTAGTGTCTGGCCATGGCCACTAATGTGTTATTGTTCACCCTGTGGGTGGGACGGGTGGTGGGCAGAGACCATCCTGCATGAGGATTGGTACAAATGTGAGAAAGGAGCCAGGAAGCAAACTAGGTAAAAGATTGGGGAATGAGTGGGAGCAGAGGGGCTCGTGGTGCTGGGGTGGGCCGGGGCAGCTGAGCCCGGATGGCTGCAGGTGAGGTGTGCAATCCAGCTCATGTGGGGCGGAGGGAGAATTTGGCCAAGTGTCTCTGGCCCACAGGCTGTTACTGTCAACACACAGATGCTACATTGTTCCCAGAAGGCCCTTGGCTCAGAAGGAAAGAGCCTAAGTGCTGAAGAGCTGAAAAACCACAGATGTACCTAAGGACTGGTCCAAGCGAGCAACAGGGAGTGAAAGGCTTGGTTGTTCCTTTCTGTGGGGAAAACTGCAGCCCCTGGGCTGGGAGTCAGCTGCTGGCAAGGACACTGAAGGTGGCAGTGTACGGCGTGCCTCTTGGCAATGAGACCGGGGACTCTGAGGAGGTCATCCAGTTCATCCCAGGGCTGCAGAAAACCACCCAAACAGCGTCTTACTTGAGGCTGAAAAATATTCCTAAGATAAGCACATCCTGGAACCCTCCTTTTGGTCCCGTAAACCAGAGGTCTTGACATTTACAGTTAGGAAATTCTTCCTGATACCCAGCTGAGGTCTGGCCATGCGAGCTGTTTCTTTTTACCTACCTTCCACGGAAATTCCTGACAGCTGCCAGGCACCAGCCGCAAATCACGCCTGTAACGCCCTGCTGGTTGTGCTCGAGTCCCTTTTTCCAGCCTCTTCTCACACTCACAATCTAACTCTTCTATCATTTTTTAAAAATTTCCAAGCCATTCAATTCACTTCACTGTTTTTCTCCCTTTCATCTTTCCCAACTCTCTCTGTCTTACTTAAAATATTAACAGTAGGAACCCACACTATAGAAGACTCATGAGCTATATTTTGTTCAATATTGTGCTAATTTTTCAATTATTTTTCTTGAAGTGTTCCCCCTGCAACAGCTATGATCAATACTGACCACAGAGGTCTTAACATCTTTACAGTATATTTTGCTGCTTTGTGACATTTGATAGTAATTTTAATATATATTCTTTTGTATGTTTACTTATGTTTATGGTGTTGAATTCCTTCTTAGCTTGCAGTTTTTCAAAATTTCCCAGTATTTTTTCCTCCCTCTCTTCTTCACAGCCAGCCCTGGGGACTCATGGCTGAAGAATGAGAATTCTTCAGAAAGAAAAGATTTATAAAAGTTCTTATCCATTAAAGATCAGACCGCATATTATAAACATACTCAATTTCTAGATCCTTCTCTGTCTTTGGGGAATATCTTCCCAAGACTCTGCATTCATTTCTCCAAGGTATGTTATTGTTGAAATATCTGGATCCATCTCAGCTATTTTTCACTGTGGAATCGTTCATTGGCCCTTTCTGATGAAACTGCCGTATTTTTTCTTTAAAGTATGAAGGAAGTGGTGATGATATACAGTAGAACTTTGAAAAAGATATTGAAAGATTTGGAAGACTATGATAGAAGGAGTGTGAATGAGGGAGGATTCAAAGTAATGACAGAAGAGTTTGGGTTTGAATCTTACCTATTTTATGTATGTGCCTCTGTGACCTTCTGGAAAAAAACTTTCTATTAATATCTTTGAACTTCAGTTCATTGAGGATAATGCAATAATTCATAGGATTTTTTGAGATTTCAGGGATATAATCCATATTAAGTAAAGTTTGGTCATGACTTTTTTCTGTTTGTTTAATTAATACTGCATTGCATTCTTTGGATAATAGTTATTTGACCAATTGTCAGAACTTACGGGAAAGGAGGAACTTCTTTCGGGGCCTTTCTTAAATGAATTAGCTTAAGTGGCCTCACACTTGAGACTGGAAATGTATTTTACATAACTGCTTTCAAATGGTTTTATAATTATCCAGGTATGGTGAGGCCAACAGATCAGAAAATGATTGCCATTGAAAGGATAGTTTGTCATTCACAGTTCCCAAGAGGAGGAAGCATGCTGTGCCAGGCAGGCCATGTGGGGACGCACTTGGGTCCATCAGGAGGCAGAGGGAGCTGGGGAAATGACGAGAGCCTTTATTATGGTTTTCATGGGAAGAAATGAGAAAGGCAGAGTAAGAAGCTTAGGATTGGCTGGTTTCAATAATTTCAGCAGGCTTTGGGGCATAGGAGCTGTCCTTTGTTGCCCAGAACCTGGCCCTGGGTTGATTAGGGCAGGTGAGTGGTAGCCCAGAGTATGAAAGCCCTGTGAGAGTCCATAAAGGAATTAGTTGGGGTGTGGGCTCTGGATTGGTTGGTCTGCATATGAAAGTTGTGCTAGCAGGAGAGTTGTTTACTACCCCTGGGAGAGCAGTCTCTCCAGGGTCAGCAAGGCCCCAGATGTCAAAACGTCAGAAACACATGGTTAATACAATAACTCTAACACCTACTCATCAAGGAGTTCCTCTTCCAACTCACCTAGTTGAGTAAGGCTACAAAGGAAGGCTGTCTTCATCAGGCCCATCTTAATATACCTACACCTTGGGTGGTGGGGGTAGGATGAGTGCTAAGTAGTGCATTAAGAGACAATGTGTCCATCACCCACATATATGCACCACACCCATTAGGTATGAATTTACCCCTCCCCTCCCCCTGCCACCTGCTTGCTCTCTGTTGAGTTTTACTACCGTATGTGCACATGAGTTTCCAGTTACTCTAGTGAGAGGCCTCTCAATTTGTTTATCTTTTCAAAGAATCAACTTTTTGTTTTATTAATCTTCTGTATAATTCCTCTGTTATCCATTTCATTTAGTTCTGTTCTGACCTTAGTTATTTCTTTTCTTCTGTAGGGTTTGGGATTGGTTTGTTCTTTCCTTTCCAATTCCTTGAGATGATTCATTAGATTGTTGATGTGTGATCTTTTTTCTTTTGGATGTAGGCATTTATGACTATGAATTTTCCTCTTATGACTGCTTTTTCCAGATCCTGCAGATTTTGATAACTTGTGTTTCTTTTGTCATTAGTTCAAAGAATCTTTTGATTTCCATCTTAATTTCCTCCTTGACCCAATAATCATTCAGCAGTAGGTTGTTTAATTTCCATGACTTTGTGTAGAGTTGAGTGTTTCTGTTGGAATTGATTTCTAATTTTATTACACAATGGG